CCCCCCCCCCCCCTCTCGGCGGCCCTGATGAGGTATAAGATTTGGTTCAGGGCCTCTTTACAGATGTGTAACTGGAGGGGACATATTTAGCGGGGGGGACCTGGAGAAGTTCCAGTCGGCAAGTCTGTATCACTGCAGCTACCAGCATGTATATGCATGGTTTAACTAATAAGTATACGTCACAGGGCAGCAGATCAGGCCAATATTAACTAGGATTCTGAGACAACCGTGTCGACCACCGAAGGTGCGAGCCTCTAGAGGGGTATGGGGGCATGCCCCCCCCCCAGAAAATTTTGGATTTTGTGAAGCTCAGATGCTTTATTTCCAGCATTTTGAGGAGTTTTCCAACAAGAAATTAACCTTACACTAGTCTCCGAAAATCAAACCAGCTGATCTTCTGGGACTGGTCAAATCGATCCCTGCAACCATGCTGTTTTGCAACATTTTTCCCCACCAAATACTGGAGCAGGATATCCCCCCCCCCCAGTTTGTTAGTGCAGGCATTTTTTGTTTGTTCAGAATAGCCTTGCAGGAAATGTTTTTTTCAAAATCACCCCCCTCCTCAAAGGTTAAATGGTCAGCCCCTAAGTTGAATAGAATACAACACCAAACATAAACTACTTATAGCCTGCGGGTAGCCTGCTCGGATACGTATCAAATTTTGATATTTCAGCCTGCATGGCCATGGGCGTAGGAAGATCGATATTTTTTTTTTGGGGGGGGGGCTCATATTCATATATTCATGTTCACAGACCGGAAAAACGATCAATTTCAAAAGAAGTAAATGATGCAGAACACGAATATATGAATATGAGTTCCTGCTCCCCCTCCCCACCTGCCCCAATTATCGATCTTTCTACGCCCATGGCCATGCAGACTGAAATATCGATAATTAATACGTATGCGAGTAGGCTACTCACAGCAGGAACTCATATCGAGCAGGCTACCCAAAGACAGATAATTATATAAGTAGTTTATGTATGGCATTGTATTCTCTTCTACTTACTGGGGTTTCTTTCGCTTTAAGAGATTTCACCAGGGACGCCGGAAAGTCGATAATTAAGGGGGGTGCAGATATTCATATATTCATGTTCGGCATCATATATTTCCTTTGAAAGCGATTGTTTTTACAGTCTGTGAACACGAATATATGAATATCTGCCTCCCCCAATTATCGACTTTCCGGCGTCCCTGGATTTCACTCCTGTTATAAAGTGAGGTCATCGGGGAAGGTAAAGTACTTCAATTTCCGAAAATCAAAAGTAATTCAGGCGCAAAACGTTATATTCTTGACTTGCAACCAATCTCCTGGTATACGCCAGACAATGTTCATTGATAAAATCACAAAATACACATGACATGGTATAGTATCTGCTGTGATAAAACATTCTTTTGTGCCATGTCAGGTGGCGGGTGACATGCAAGTCAAAAATAGAGAAAATGTAAAAATCAGCCCAGTCCAACTGTCCAGTCCAGTCCAACTGTCCAGTCCAGTCCAACTGTCCAGTCCAGTCCAGTCCCTGTTTTGTACTATGCCATATGAGTCGTATTAAACAACTTTGAACTTCCACGCAACATGTAACATGACATTTTCATAAAAAATTACCAAAACTTGAAAAAGTGTCTGCCAACAATTAATCAAGATGCCATATACAATCCATCTCAATCCTGGCGTAATCTTGCCCAGCCAGACTTCTGTACATGTTTTTGTTTGTGTCAGTTATTGCTTTATTTTGTACTTACACTCATTCTTTTTCAGTTTTAGGCAAAATTTGCGAGGATTGGAATTGCTAAAAAATCGTGACATTGCCACAATCCCCTCACCATCCTCTCCCCTTAACAAATTCATGGTGGCGGTAGTTTTCTTGAATTTCTAAAGTGTTTTTCTCACTCGTTTGTTCATAAATTCCCTTAGGGACAAATCTTACCAATACACATATCGAAATTGGCTTTATCCATTCAGCTTTCATACGATCGGACCTTTATTAGGACATAACATAAATTATTCATAAGATAAAGTTGCTAACAATTCCCCGCCGTAAACCTATATCAATTGATGCTGCAAAATAGGGCACAGTTTCCCGGTTTATTTTAACGTGTAGTTCTACACAAATTGTGCAGTTCTAAACCTATTTGTGCAGTTCTTAAAACACAAATGTGCAGTCACCAAACTAACAAAAATAGCCTTAATTAAAACAGTCTTCTCATTTACTCGTTACCCTTGTGGATGCTCCAGAAATTCCGGAAATGCTATCATTAATTGAGCATCACAAATATAAACGTTTTCTAGAAGAGGAGTCCAGACCCTCCTATTTTCCTCGCATATTACGTACGTGCTGGGGTAATGGAAAAGAAGGTAAAATTGGGGCGAGCGAAGCTCCCCAAAAGAGATTAGAATGGGAGAACCTATAATATTCTTTGCTGCCTCAAATGCAAATTTAAGGTTTTTATACATTGAATATCCATGATTCCCAGTTACATGTTTTGAAACAGTTTTTGTGAGTGGTTGGGTAAAACAAATCTTTTAAGAGCCTTTAGATTCAAATTGTCTCGGAGAACACCCCCAGACCCCCTAGCTCCAGCACTCAAAATCGAGTTTGTCTGGCCTTTCTCCAGTTCTCCCACGCAACCACACCATTATTCTGTCATCTATATGCAGATGAAAAATCCTTCGACCACCCCTCCCCCCAGTCAAACACACGTTGCCTTCGTAACATCCCTATAAGTGCAATTCTAAATTTCTCTTAAAATAAACCCTGCACAGTTTCATTAAGATTTTGTTCCTTGCCTTTCGAAAAAAATGCATTGAATCAAACATAAAACGCCATGAATTTGTTACGCTTGTCTCATAGGGCGTGCGAGAGGAATAGGTACGAAATATTCATGCTGACATATCGTATAGGTACAGCTAAATTATCATCTTGGTCTCGGTTAGCGCTTCGATGATCGAACTCTTAGGCGTTGAAGTGTTTCCAAGAACAAAGATGCTACTCCTTTTACATAAGGTTCAGGCCTTCAAGATTTACAGTTACTGCAGGTTAGATGATTTGATTAGGTTAGATAATTTGATCAGGTCAAAAAAGCAGGGGTGGTTATCATTTTTTTATTCAATGATTGATAACAGGAATGCTTGTAAACACTATTTTCAAGATTTTATATGCTTGTTTGCAAATGCAGATTTGACCTTTGAACTAAATACAAGTGGCCTCGGGAAACATCGACGGTCGAGGAGGCTTTTGCTACCAATGATGCATGTTTACTAGTGTTTAGACTGCGAAGTTCTTTCCTATTATTTCAAATCAAAATTTTATAAACACCATCACTTTTTAACCGATTAAAATGATTATTTAAATTAACCTTAAATGAGGTCTGAACCTTATATATTTGAATAATACCCTGAATCTGGCTCCAGGGATATTTTTCAACTACCCAACATATCCTCAACTATCCAACATATCTGGCTGGAGAGCAAAAAGACTCTACTCTGCACACCCCTACAAAGAACTTAAAGTATGTAACATAAGAAGAAATTGCTCCTTAGGTGTTAATAGGTGAAATATGGGCAAGTATAGTCCACAGTCGATAATCAAAATTGTCTAGCATGACATGTCAGAGTTCAATATCAAAGTACTTAAAGTAGGTAGTGTTAGGGAAAATTGTATCTGAATATATCAACATGAAACGTGGGCAGAGTCTAGCTAGACACTTCCCTTGACAAATAAAATTGTCCGGCATTAGGCAAGATAACATTTAACAAAGTGCTAAAAATTGGGCTCATTGGAGTGAATCAGTGAAATGGATAATAAATTACTCCAAAAACCATCAAATACTTGCCGGGGTGTATATCTCAAATATATAAAACTTAGCCCAAAGTTGTTACATATATTATTAAACAGATCATCTGATCATGCAGGTGGCATAAATAAATGTTATTTGCTGTGTTGGTGTAATGTACTCAGGTGAATAAGATGCTTGTGCGATCTTACTCTGATTGTATATCCTCACCAGGCAGGCTCTCAAGAAAAATATACCTGGCCACAGTGGGATTCGAACCTACGACCTTTGGAGTACTAGCCCAATGCTCTGAGTCTGACAACTGAGCTATGCGGTCAGGTCGGTTCGAGTATGCTGTATTTCGGAACTGAGTCTAGTTCCTTCGATATCTGTGTAATCTAATAATCATGATATTTATTGTGTTGGTGTAATGTACTCAGGTGAATAAGATGCTTACAAGTGTGATGTTACTCTGAGTGTATATATATATTATACACCACCTGGCCACGGTGGGAAATATGCCTGCCCAGTGTGGATATACACTCGCAGTAACACCATAACATCACACAAGCATATAAAACTAAATGAATTCATATAGAGTTTGAAAGTTGCGCCACACAACGCATCAAATTGACAACTTTTATCTAAACTGACCCATCTATATATATATGAATAAATATTAATAGAAACTTATGAAATTACCAGTTAATTGAAAACAAATCAATAAATTCTCTCAAACCATGTTTACCTCGGACATACATAGGTAGGCATATGAGAATTGAGTAGATCAAGTAGATGCCAAGCTATATTATTTTATACAAGGAACACTTGATCTGGCAATCCGTCATATACACAACTAGTCTATTTGGCATTACAACAAACATAATTTGATATAAAGGCTGACCCTTACGAAAATCAACACTATTTTAACCCTATTTTATCCCTATTTTACTTTCTATTTTATCCCTATAGAAAAGCTATTTTATTTTTAACCCTATCATATTGCTATCACATATACAAATCCTATATTAAACCTATTAGAACTCTGTTTTAATTGTATTTT